CAATTCTCAGCCCAAAAGCAGGGATATGGGAAATGAGAAAAAAACAAGCATTGGAATTGATATGTTAAAATTGAGTTAATTGTGAGATATGATTGTTAGACGTTAATATGTTCAAAACAATATTCATTTATAGAAATAGAGAATCCAGAAAAATGGAGATGATAGTCTTCAATGGTCAGATTACACCTGAACTATTAGTATTACAGGGCTGAGAGTAGAACCTGGCACTATTTGTTGGCAAAGGAAAAGACATAAGGAAGATATTGCAGGTCTTCAAATATTTTCACAACTGTCCATAAGAGAAAAGACACATCTTGAGAGGCTAGAACAAGGACCATTGTTCAAATAGTTCTGGGAGGCAGAATTTTCTCCTTTTTATTTCTAAGGCGGTATTTTGTGAATGCAGGCAGTATGTTCACAATTCTGAAATAGACACGACGTCTAAAGTCTTCACCTCAAACTCACACTTAGTTGGCTTAATATGAACTTATTTATAATTTGCTCTCCAAAAAGTGGAATAGCCTATATGAGGCAGAAGAGAGTTTCTTTCTCACTCTGATGTGTGGGCCCCATTACTAGTGCTTATCAATGCATTCTGGTTCTCTACCTCATTTTGACATGTGGTAAGATGATACTTCCTTTCCTCTTTTGGTTAGATGTTGTCATGCAACTTGCTTTGGCCAATGAAATGTGAGCAGAAGTGGTGTAAATGATTTCCAAGCAGAAGCATTTAAAGGCTTACGTGTGATTTTCCATGCCTTTCTTCTGTGGTCATTGTGGAAGCATGTGATGAGTTGAAAATACTATCAGATCACAACACCCAGGAGAACTTAGCCAATTTATGGAGGACAGTTGTAGTGTTCTCTGCATGATCAAGAAATAAACTAGTCTTATTGTAAGACAGTGTAAGTTGTGAAGTTGTTATAACAGCATAATCTAGCCTGTTCTGGCTTTTTCCCTTTGGTATTTAACACAAATATCCCTGGGCCAGTAGAAGTCAGGCAACAGGGCTTCTAATACTTACTCTGACATTAACTATGACCCTAGAAAAATCAGTTTCCTCTGTAAAACAAAATTGTTTGAATGAAAAATGCGGACCATCTCTTCTAGAAAAGAACTCTGATTTTAAAGTCTGTTTTAATACTTGATGTAGTCAGAGAAAACAATGTCTTTTATAACTATCTGTTCTATTGTTTTTAACTATATGGCTAAAAGCCCACATTGCCATTTACTTTTTAAATTCCACATAAATTGCTGCCTATATTAATTAGGACCATTTTATTTAGTTTGGAACAAAACTTCTCATATAATATATGCATTGTTTTAGAGCCTTAATAATCTGCTAACAGAGTATAATCCAGGATATCAAACACCTATTAAATCACTACACCTCTTTGAAATCATTCCTATAATAGGTCTCCATGGCAAACTGAAGTATGGCAAAAAGTTTATTTTTTTTTTACTTTTTTGGGGTCCCAGCTAGATCCCTTTCTTTTGCTACACAAAAGGTATGGCTTTTATCCCAGAAATTGAACTATCATAAAGATGCCAGAATTTCAGTTTTTTTCTTCTTACCAAGAGATTTATAGCTTATCTTTAAAATTAGAGGTTTATTTTTGTTTCTAAGTTTAGTTACTCTCTAATTATTTGGGCTGAAATACAGTCATCAGATATATAAATTCCTTAAAACACTCAATATTTGAATTGATTTGGCATATATCCAGTCTTCCTAGGTTTGGCTTTCCTTTGAAAGTCCTACTGCCTTTAATAGAAGCTCAGATTCCTTTAGAAAATCTGATGGAATCACCTCCTAAGTATGTGTAGTACGTGATCCATACAGTTTCCAGTACTGTTTGAACTTGGCTCTTTAAATAACCAATCTGTTTCTAGTTCACATTTCATAGATGAGTCAACAATTGAACATCAATATAATTTGCTCTTTTAAAAGTTTGTTCTGAAATAACTTATACTTAATAGGTACCAAATCAATATTTACTGAACAAAAGAATTTAATATAATTATTAATCCAGCTATTTTGTGAAGCTAGGGATCAAGGATTTGAAATTTTTATTTAGTTTGTTTTTCCTCATTACCTCTGTTCAGCCTTACATTAAGAATAACTATATTCCATATTGTAAAAGACACTTTAAACTCACCAGAAATCACATTAAATTTCTGTTCCCATTTAAACAACTAAATCATATGGCAGAGTACTACTGAATTTTAACCACAACTTTTCATCTCTCTAAAATACATTTAAATATATCCTTATTGTAAAAAGACTGTTAATTTCATTTCTTACAAGACGTGGCTCCTGGTCATGATTCTAGTTTTGTCACTAGTTGTGTGACCCTTGTATATATTGCTAAACTTCTCAGAGCATTAATTTCCTCATTTCTAAAATGAGAGGCTTCCAGTAGCTGCATTTCTAGTTTCCTTTTTAACACTGTGAGAGTTTCTCGTTGTGTGCATTCAGCATACTTCTTTAGGTCTTCCTTTGCTTTCAGAAGCATTTATAATGGCTCACCCTCTAGACTACATTTTGTGGCCTTTTTGGCCTGCCTTAATTCTAATATAACAGATTACCTATATACTGGCCCACATAGGCCAGATGCTGCTGCAATAACCCTTCTCTAACCTCAGTGAATTAAAGTAACAAAGTTTATTTCATGTTCATACCAATTGTCTGCCCATGGTATGTGGTCCCAGAACTTGGCTGTGTGTTGTCCTCATTCCAGGACCAAGGCCTTCAAAGGACCTATTATCTGGAGCTTTGCAGATTCTGTGCAGAGACTAGAGAGAGAATAGCTATGTCATACGTTGTCTTTGAAAGCTTCCACCTAGAAATAAACGCATCGCTTTTGTTCATATGGCATTGTCCAAAGCAAGTCAGTGACCACACCTAACTTCAAGGGGGCAGGAAGTACCATCTCACAGTATGGCTTGGATGTGGGAAGACACAGGAATATTTGGTGAACAGCTCTTATGACTGTTCAACATGTTTTAAGTAAAATGTTGACTTCTGGTAGGAACATAAATTAGTACTACATTTATGGAGGGAAATTTGCAAACATCAAAAGCCCTAGAAATATATCTGTCATTTGATTTAGCAGTTATAGTTTTAGGTAATGATTGAACAAATATATAAAGATGTATATTCAGTAATTCATTCCTTAAGTATATACTTATTGAATATCTACTGTATGCCTGGAGCTGACATGATCTATACCTTTATGGAGCATTTTGGGGTGAGAGAGTGGAGAGATAGTGCCAGAGATAATTCATATGAAACAGGTTGTTATGGAGAAATATAGGGTGCTATAAAAGCATATAGGAAAATTTCTTCTGATCTATTTTTCAGTCATCTGATTCTCTCTTCAGCAAGTAAAATCTACTCTGCAACCCCCCCCTCCATTGAATTTTTAATTTCCATTTTTGTACTTTTTCATTTTTAAATGAGTTCTCCTTTAAATGTGCTAAATTATGTTTTATAGTTTCCTATCTCTGAAGATATTTTCAAGTTTGTCGTTTATGAAGAAATTGCTTTTTCAAATTGTGACATAATTTTGAATGCTTACAAATCTTTTGATAATAAAAATTAAAAGTTACATGGTTATAATTTACTCTGTTAAAATTTGATAATCTTCAGGGAAAAAGCGTGATCAAGATTGTGTATACAAACTGCAACTTTTAAAAATTTGTTCATAGTGAATATTGTAAGGTGATACAGAAATGATAAGATTTGAGTTAGGGTGTTGGGATTATGACTGATTTTTTTTTTTTTTTTTTTTTTTTTTGGGGGGGGGGGGGGGGGGGGGGGAAAAAA